CCCCGCCCCAGGTAACCCTGTCTTTTCCTCCCTCTGCAGGGATTTGGCATGCCCATGTTCTGAAGTCTGGGAAGACGTTTTACAAACTTGGAACTCTATTGTTTAGAGCTAGAGGCCTATATACTGTGATAGCTTGTATGGAAACCACACTTTTGATGTGATACGGTTTGATTTTTAACCAAATGATTGAGGTCAACCCCTTTTTGTGGTGATGGAGAGAAGAGGAGCTCCTCAGTGACACCCGGGAATGTTGGCCACTCCAGTCACCTCAGAAGGGCTGACCTAGAGAATCATTTGTATCCCTGTTCTTGACTGTCCTAATACAGATTTTTTTTTTTCTGGATGAGGAGGAAGTTTTAAATTGTTAAGACAGCTGTCGGAATAAACACTGTTCTACATATGTTTTCTGAAAACAACATTGAGTGAAAACAGAACTTTTTAACTTTATTTTTCTGCTGTACAATTTAAAACAGTTTTAACATTTGCCTTTTTATGTTTTCAGAGCTAGCCATTTTTATTAAACCTATGCCTATCAGCCACTGACTAGCAAGGATGCTGTAAGCAGGTCGTTCTGGCTACAGAGAAGTGTTTTTGAACACACTGGATCTGATTCACATTATGGTACGCTCCTGTCCTCTCCCAGGCATGGAGAAGAGCACTCTCAGAGAAGAGGGTAGAATCCTAATGACGTGCATCTCTGCCAAAAAATTTCAGATTCTGATATGATAAACCCAGATTTTATACTCTTGAGAAGATTTATTTTTATTTATAATGGGACATAAAGTAAGAGATGTCCATGAAGCCACTTTTCCAACAGATGCTGTGTAACATTCATTTTATATAGCACATGGGGACACAAAACAGTAAATTTTCTATTGGTACTTGCTCTGTGCATTTTTAGCAACTTATACCAGCAAATAAAGTATTCTCAGTAAAACACACAAATGGTTCTCAAGTAATCACTTTGCTGTTTTTACTACCTACTTCAAGCCTGCCAACCCAAGGTACATAAACAGCAACTTTCCTATTAAAAAAAAATAGTCCAAGGGTGGGGGAAAGGATCACTTTAGCATATGAAAAGTAATTTTCCTGTACCATAAAACAAAGTCTACTTTCCATGCCGTAAATACCCTTTTCCGCTATTTTTGTAAATTAATTTTGCCAGTTAGAAGTACTGTATGTGCTGCATAGAAATTTGTGCTTAGATGGTGAAGTTCTTAAGCTTACAATGGACTACAGCTACATTTTCAGTGTTAACTGTGCATATTGAGAGTAATTCTTTGGAAAAAAAAATATGATTTTTCAAAAAAGCTAAAAACGTTAAAAAAAAAAATCAAGAAGACCCCAAAACATTCTCAGCTAATTCATTGTAATAAGAGATTCTTTTCAATGTCTTCAATAATTTGGAATTTCATTATGCTTCAATTTGATGACTCTGCCTAGTAGCTGCTCCTTAGTTAGACTGGCCTGACGCCAGCAGAGCTGGCCTTCCACAACTCCAGGATCTCCAAAACGGCCCCAAAACGTTCCTCTTCCTTCCTGCACTCCACCATTAGCAGCTGAGATACAAACCAGACTTACCCACTTGGAGCACAGCAGTTTCAGAGGTGCTTTTATTTTTTAGCAACTGCAGAATAATCACAGAGCTTTTTTCTCTTTGGAGCTTACTGGGAACCAACCCGGCCCCTCCGTGCCCGGGGCTGAGGCTCTCACCCAGCTGCAGTGTCTCTCCCAACACGAGCACTTCTCAGACACAGTTGCCAAAAATGTTTGCCCAGGCCCTGCAGCCGTTCCCCCGGGGTGGGGATGGACCAACCCAGCAGCAGCTGGCACTTCAGACCGAGCTGTGCCCTCGCTCGGGGCTCCCTCCGCGCCCGGGGCACGGGGCTGCGGCCCCGCTCACATCGCCCCGCGGGCAGCGGGGCAGAGCAGATGCTGCCTGGTTTGAGTCATTCTCAGACAAACCTTGTGCTTCACAGTCCTCTGTGTGGAAAACTGATTCCTAATTTAACATTGTAGAATACTGTATAACAAACATTGATGATCACGGTACCTGCAATGGGTCTCCAGTTCAGTTTGCAGTCTATAGGTTTTTGTATTATGAGTGTCTCCTTGATTGGTTTTGCTAGTAATTCTGTAAATTGTACATTTACAATATGAGGTTTTTTTTTTCCTTTTGTACAATTTAAAACTGATGCTTCACCTTTCATTTAATAAACTATTCAAAATCATGAGTATGATGAGCACCCTCTTCACTATAACTTTTTAAATGCCTCTTTGGACCATCACATCCTGTCATCCCACTGACTTCTAGGAATTCAAGGAATTAGTAAAGGAAGTGCTGACAGATAGTTTTCAGGTAGTCCAGGCTTCACAACCTGGTCCTGTACCACCACCTTACCCACTCAACCTCAGAGTGATGGAAAACCCTCCCTGGGCTTCTTTTCCGTACCTCCACCATGGTGTGTTTTTGGTTGATCTGGGGGGTTATTGTGAGATTCTGTAAATCTGGGAAGGCCCCACACTTCTGGGAAAGCTGCACTGTTAGAACTTACAATTGCTTGAACTGTCACGAATTTTGAGAAGAATTTGCCTCTCCTGCCCTGCACGTCTGAAGTGACCTGGACCTCGTGGGAAGAAGCTGCAGTGGCAAAGGCTTGGAAGCTGCAACAACCAGCAGGGCCAAATGGAGTTTACAGATTCCTGAAAAGAAATGTCCTCATTATTACCATGTATGAGAGCAAGGTGCTATTTCTGTCCCACCCAGGAATGATTTCAGCTCTATAGCACCACAGAAAACTGATTTATCACCTGGCCCACTACCTCAGGAAAGTCACCTGAGCCAGGAATGGTAACGAGATGCAGCAGGTGAGGAGCAGGGATAAGATTCAAGGTCTGAGCTGCTCCTGAGACACAGCCCAAATGCTTGTAAGTCATGCTCAGCTCCTGCTGCCCTGGAGAACACAGTAAGTAACCTGTCTTGCTGCCCCATTCGAGGGCTGCTCACTGCTGCGAGGAGTTTATGTTGTACCTCTTGTTTTTGTAGGTGACTGCAATTCAGGATCTCCAGTAGCATGGCCAGAGCAGCTTTCCAGCCTGTTTCCAGCATGTTGTGCTGGAAGAACAACTGCTTGGAAATGAAGAGAAAAAATCCAAACTGTTCTGCTGGCAAGGGACTGGAGAGGATGGAGGCTGTGGCACCAGTGAGGTCAGGAAACAACTAACAAAGCTGTCCTTTTCTCTCTGTGGCAAAGACCACTGCATTTCTCACTGTCTCCTCCTGACCCTGGGCAGGCTGCAGGAGCTGTGTGTGTATTGCTTCCCTTCCCACAGGGGAAGGCTTCCCTACAGCTTCGTGCAGCTCCTTCAGTGTGCTGCAGCCAGGACAGTGTGTCTGGAACCTGAGTGTGCTGCCTCCAAGGCATCCAAAAACCTCTGGAGCTGGGACTCGGACCTGAAATGCTCCTTTTGAACTGTGCTTTTAGATAGTTTTTAGTTGTTGCCTTTTTTCCCCACAGGTTGCAGGCTCCAAGCTCCACAGCTGTACTCACTGCACGTACCTGGGAAGAGCTGCTCCCTGGGAAGTGGCCATCCTGCTCCTTCAGGCCCGTGCTGGGAGTGAACAGCAGCAGCTCCATGTGCAGGTAGGGCAGTGCTGTGTCTCCCAGTGCATCCCTGAGGTCACTCCAGGCCCTCCTGTGCCTGCAGCTGGTGCAGCAGGGCTAAGGGTGACACTGGCTGCTCCTCTCTCCCTTGGGGGCTGGGGGTCAAATGCAGCTTCTGCTGAGCAGAGCGAGCACAGGGCCCAGGGCTGAGCTGAGCTAACACCTACTACAAGTCTGGCAGATAATCACAGAAAAATGAGGCCTCTGGAGGCCTCTGTTCCAGCCTGTGCTGAGGGAGAAGGATTTTCATGTCCCACCAGAACTGCCCTTTTTTGTTGCTTGCCCTTCAGGAGGGGGCTGGCTGCACCTTCTCTGTACCTCCCACCTGTGCCCCAGCCTGCAGCTCTGAGACCCACCTGAGACCTGGCCTGGAAAAGCTGTGCCTTGGACAGTCTGGCAGAGGAACACAACAGGTTAGTCTGGGATCCTGCAAGCCAGGCTCAGGATTCTCCTCTCTGAGTCTGTGGTGCAGGCAAGTAGAGTCAGACTCCAAAGATGCACATGGAGCTACACCTGAATGCAGGTCAGCAGGGAGAGGTCACTCAGCTCTGCCTCAGGGCCTATGGAATGAGGGAGCCAAGGGAATGTTTGACCTTGAGCAATTAGTAACAGCTCATCTGCTGCAGGCACAGCAGGGGCTGTTGATTATTAACCACCAGAAAGGTTTAAGAGAGGTGAACTGGTCAGACCTCAGAATTAAATGAAATATATACTATGATTTATTGATGGTTATCAGCCAAATCAAAACCCAAAGAGCTATTTCCATTGCCAAGCAGACCTCCATTAACGAGAGAGTGCCAGGTCTCCCTGCAGGGCCACCCCTGCTCATCCTCACAGTGGGATATTGGCATGTTTCTTCCAGGGACTGGCCTGGGATTTACTGGCCAGCACATCCAGGTCGTGGCAGATCCGCCTGCGGGTGGTGGAAGGCTGGATGATGTCATCAACAAACCCTGGAAAAATGGAAACACGGAGAAACCAACTTGAGCAACCAGGGAGGGTTTGCTTCTGGGCCTTCTGACCTAGGCTGTAACATAAATTAGCAAAATCAAAACAATATTTGGAATAAGTAAATTCACAGGTTACAAATTAACTTAAAATAGCTTGGAAAGGAACTATTCCTGCATCAATAATTTTTAAATTTTAAATTTAAATTCGCAGTTACTACTGTAAAGCTAGAGGTCGAAACAGTGGAAAAATTTGCTCCAGAGTGTCCTGGGGCACATAACTGAACTGGATCCTGTCCCTTTCTTCAGGCCACTGCTCTGCATCCAGGGCTGTCAACCAGATTGGAAAAGCACCTGTGCTACAGAGGAAAAGTTGTGAAATGCTTTCTACCATCTACAAAATTGAAAATGCACTTTTCAGAGCAGTCCCCACCTTTGACCAGGCTCTGTCCAGCTGAAGATGTGTCTAGATGTGTTTGTCCTTCACATGCACAAGCTGTGGTTAAGCCTCACCTTTCTGACTCAGGTCTTGCCTCAATAACTTGTTCATTAGCAAAAGGTTTCCCTAAGAGCTGTGTGCACTGAGAGACCCAAGCAGGGGACACAGTGGGGGAGACATCCATACCTCTCGTGGCAGCAGGAAAGGGGTTTGCAAACTTATCCACGTACTCCTGCTCCGCGTTGGCCTCCTTTCCCCTGAAGATGATCTGCACAGCGCCCTGGAACAGCGCGGTCGGTCAGGGCCATCCCTCTGCTGACAGCCAGGGCAGCCCTGGCCTCCCCACCCTCCCCACCACGGTGGGCTGCTCAGAGCAAGTCCCCCCGTCCCCTGTCCCCTCTGTGGTGCTGGGAGGGCGCTGGTGGCTGTGCCCTGGTGGGAGGGTGGCTGGGCTCACCTTGGCTCCCATCACGGCCACCTCGGCCGTGGGCCAGGCGTAGTTCGCGTCTCCTCTCAGGTGCTTGGAGCTCATCACGTCATAGGCACCACCATAGGCCTGGAACAGAACCAAGGATTCACTCCTGGGATTGGGATCTCACAGCAGCAACTGCCTACACCCCTCCTGCAGCTTCTGCCAGGCCAGAGACAAGAACTGGGGCTGAACTCTACCTGCAAGAGAGCATGAGCATCCCCACTGCTGCAACAGCCTCCTGGGACTGACACCTCTGCCACCAGAGCTCCAAGGGGGCAGGAAGGGGGCTGCTGGTCACCAGGACCATTGTCCAGGGCAGGCACAGAGGGGTCAGTGTGTATCTGACCTGCAAGCCTCGACCTGCACATGCACTCACACCCAGCAGTCGGGGTGCCTCTGGAATTCCCTGGCCAGGGAGTGCAGCACTCGGGCTCTGCAGTGCTCCACTCTGCAACTGGAAGTGCTCCAGACAGCAGTGATGAACACACTGCAGAACTGCAGAGCAACCTGCAGTGCAGTCCCTGGCAGGGCAGGGCTGCAGGGCTGACAGGCACGGCGTGGGAACACTTGGAACAATCAGAGAAGGCAGAGAAAAAAGGAAAGTTCTTTTTTCTTTTTGCCATGATAAGCCAAAAGCCTCTCAGAAAAATGAGCAGGAGGGAGAAAATGAGCAAGGAAAAGACTAATCCTGTAAGGACCCAGAGCTTATGGAGCGTGGTGTCAGGTACCTTACAGAGAGAAAGGAAGAAATGAGGCAGATTGTGGCAGGAGGCTGTGGAGGAAGAGGCACCACATGAGTGTTAAACCTGCAGACACAGATGCTGTCAGTGCTGGGGTTGGAGGGGGAGGCTGAAGGGGCAGGAGGAGAGAAAGCAGATTTGCTGTGTGCAGATGGTGTGTCCTCAGCGAGACAGGCCTGGTGACATGGGACAGTCCTGAGTGAAGGCATTCCAGGGAGAAAGCAGGGCAGAAACAGGAGGTTTCAGAGGGGTGCAGAGACAAGAGGAAGGAAGGAACTGAGGTCTGGGAATAGAAGAAATGGGCTCTTGTGCCCTGACACAAAGAGGTGTTACCAGGTGGGGCAGATGGAGATGTGACAATGGGACACACAGACAAGGCTCCCTGGAACTCAAACTGCCACTGGTGGAAACAGGAACTCTGGAAGATCTCCATGGAATTATCCCAACTTACCTTCCTGGTGATGACAGTGATTTTAGGCACAGTTGCTTCTGCAAAGGCAAACAGCAGTTTGGCACCGTGCCGGATGATCCCACCGTACTCCTGGGCTGTGCCTACAAAGGACAAATATTTATTTCCCTCCAGGGAATTCACAAAACCCCATCATCCATCACCAGCAGCAAACCTGGCCCCACCACAGCCTTGTGAACATCCAGGAGGAGGTAAGACCAGGCAGTGTCCTCTGCAAGATACCAGGCAGCTCTGCAAAGTCTCTGAGCGAGAGCAGCACCTGTTGGTGTGTCAGGTCACAAAGCAACGCTCACCTGATGGTGCCTCCCTAGGAACAAAATACAGCATTTCCCAGACTCCACCTGTGACCAGCAGTGGGAAACACAGTCTACATTCACTGCTGGTCATCCTTCAGGCCAGCCCTAGTTGATGGTCCTTAAAGACAGAGGGATTCTCTGTAGGGATTCTCACAGCAGGTGCTTCTGGAGAATGGTCACGGGCAGCAAACAGGACTGTAAGTCATCCACATGTCCCAAACACAGGCTACCTGACTGCACTGGAACCAGCAATCCCATGGAACTTATTTCTAACATTTCTGAATTTCAGACTGCTGGGTATAACTCTACAGCCAATCTCCAGCAGTTTAATCCACCTATGGGCTTTTGCTTTCAGCACATGAGAAACCTCCTGAGAGTACCTGGGATCATCTAATAGATGTGGGGGGTTTAATGTAAGAATTTTAAGTAAAAATTCTTTAGTGAGATTCAGTAACTTACCTGGTTGTCTGTTTGGTGGCTTGGCTTTAATGCTTCCCCTCAAGTGTGATTTCAGGGTCTGATAATTTCTGCCTCCACTTCACTTTAGTTCTTGCCTTTCCCTGCAGCCAGTGGGACCTGCCTGGGCACAGCTGGGACACTGGGGGCACTCAGGGGCTGGGGAGCACCTGCAGACCCCGGGGTCTAATTCACATCTAAAACAGCCAGTCACTCAAAGTGCTTCAAGATCATTCAGTTATTTGAATTATTTACACTGGCACCCATGACCAATGAACATAAACTCTTTTCTAGCCACAGAGTCAGTCCCAAACTTGTTCTAACTCTGTGTTTTTATCCAGCTACGGGTTATAGATGCCTCAGATGTCATCTCTGTGCACACCTATGAAACTGGGGGCTATTCAGGTGTTTGGGTCACTGACACTGAGATGTTCAGTGCACCACCACGAGCCAGTGTGACAGATTCCTTCTGTTCTGTACTGGACAGGGAGATGGGATGATGCCACCCTCAGAATTTGTTACGTGAGATTTCTAATGTTAATAATGGGCCAATCTTGCCAAACTGCTTAAAATGGAACAATTTAGGATCACAATCAAGCCTAAGGTCTCCTCTCTTTGGCTTTCTCTGTTTTATTTTTCTCCTGCTTATGTACTTTCAAACCAGTGTACTATCATGCAATATTAAGTCACTACTTTTATCAGCTGTATGGAGATAATTTGTACCTGGATTCCAAGCAGCTCCCCAAATGTGGATTCCTGTGGTGTCCCCTGAAGTGAACTAAGCTGGTGCCTGGCCCAGGTCACAGGAGGAAGGTGAGCCCACAGGGGGAGAGGAAGGTTCTGTGACCCCTCTGGTGTTGCCTCACAGTTAAAACGTGCCAGCTCCAAAGTGTTAAAGCAGGAACTGGAATGCTGGCCAGGGCCACTTCAGTGCTGTGATGGCTGGAGAGCCTCGAGGTGACCCGTGGTTTGTACAACAGCTCTGACATTGATTGGATCCTGTAACGTGTCTGTTCCTCTCATGGCCTGTTTTCTGAGGGGTCAGGTTAACACTTCCTGCTCCCAGAGCCTGTGCTGAAAGCAAGCTCACTGCAGCCCTGTCCTTCCTCATGCACCTGCAGCCTCTAAACCACGGGCATTTTTAGCTAAGAAGGGCCTTGGAGCACAAGAGAACCTCTCAGAGATGCCCAGGGGGGGCTGTGGGTAACAGTCAGTGGCAACAAGAACATCATTTTCCCCCACAGGTCCATCCTGTCACATCTCTGCCAGCAGCTGAGGCAGTTTCTCCTGCTGCAGCAAAGCCTGGACAGCAACATGTGCCAGTATGAGCTGAGTACCTGCAGTGCTGAGCAGATGTGGGAATGGTGCCACAGCTGCCACTGCTCCCTGCCCTGGGCCAGCAGTGCCAGCTCTCACCTCATCCTGCCCCCAGGGCTCAGGACAGGGTGCTGGGCTGCCTTCCCTGGCACTGGGGCAGCACAGCCTGTGCTGGGCCTTCTGCTGCCACAGTGCCCAGCACAGAGCTGGGGGACTCAAACAGCACCTGAACACACAGCTGAGCACCCAGAGGGGCCTGGAGTCTCCTTGGAATGCAGAAATCAGTGTAACTTCCCAGCACTTCTGGCCAGGGCAGCATCTCCAGGCAGGGCAGTTGTTGCCTTGGACAGGCCACAGTCACAGCTTTGGGCAGCAGGACAGAGCTTTCCAGAGCAGGATATCCCCACACCTGGCCCTGGCAAACTGGTCATCCCAGTGTCTCCATCAGGCTGCTGGAGATTCCAGCATTAACTGTGTGACCTGTCCCTCTCCTGGGACAGGAGCTGGGACACCAGCTGGGTGGGACACCAGCACCGTGCTGGGATCCCAGAACATGGTGACAGTAGCAGGACAGTTGGGCACCATTTAATTTTCCTGCAATTTTTGGCACATTTCACCATCCTTTTGTGATGATTCCTGTATTTAGAATACAGAGTTCCTGTCCCAAAGAGTGGGATTTGAATACCTGCTTATACAAGTCTACCACAGTCAAGGCTTTCTCACAGTTCTTAAAATGTGTTTTCAGCCCCAGGAGTGCCCTGCAAGGCCAGGCTCACCTGGCAGGAATCCAGGGACATCCACAAACGTGAGCAGGGGGATGTTGAAGGCGTCACAGAACCGGACAAAGCGGGCTCCCTTCACAGAAGAGTTTATGTCTAAGCACCCTGAAGTTCAGAACACAGAAAAAGGTGTTACCAATGACCTGCAGTAATTCAAGGCAACTCAAAAAATCACACTGTTTTAGCTGTAATGTCTTTTTTTTAAAAAAAGGAAAGGCTTATCTGGAGGTAATGTGGAGATAATGTGCCTGAAGTTTTCCCGGTTTAGAACTAAGATTACAGAACAAGCTACATTCAAAGGCTGATTTCATTTTTCTAACTCCTGTGCACAAAGACTTTCTGTCCCAAACCAGAGCAGTTTAATTACAATCTTGTCATTTAAAATATTTTTTCTGTAATTTTCTCTTCATTGGTCTTTTTTAGATCAGTCGTATTGAAAGGTTACAGAGTTCCCCATTAAAAAACCCAAAACATTAAACAGTCCAATAATATTTTGAGAAAGACCAGCATTTTTGGTAAACATGCTGCAAAGTGTTTCTGTTCTGTTTCAGTGCCATTTAGGATTATATTATGCACAATTATATTAAACCAAAAAAAATTTTGTATAAAAGCATCTATGTGAACCATTAAAAATAGTTGTTAAAATTGATATCAAGTGAAGATTAAATTAATATTAAAACCTTTTGTCTTGTATCTTGATAGGCATATCTTGTAAGGATAATAAAAGAATGAAACATCATACTTGGTCATCTGATCTTCCCAAACACGAAGCCACAGGAATTAAAACCAAGGAGTAAACCATAGAGTTCAGACTGGAGAAGGTCACTTCAGGAATTACTGAGTTAAAGAGAGCAAAGCAAGCAAAGCCCCTGGACAGTTTAAAAGGGTGATCTGTACCATTTGGGGTCAAGAGCCCCACACCTGAGGGTCTGAAGGCTTTGCACTGTTCTGGCTACAGGGAGATGACAGAAAAAGTCCCCTCACCCTGCAGAGGAGTTTTAGGGATTTTACTGCTGTGGAAGGAAGGGGGCAGTTCCCAGATTATGGTTAATCCAGTGAATTGCAGGCTGCTCTTCCACCCCTGTGTGTGTGCTGGATGCAGCACTCTTGGATTACCTGGGAGTGAGATCACCCTGCTCTCACAGCTCTCAGTGAGGGTCAGGACAAAGTGGTGGAAAAGCCCTGAGAAGGAGCAGAACAGCACACAAACCAACCCAACCCCTGGAGCCAGATCCCCTTCCACAGCACAGCACAGCACAGACAGGCACAGGCACTGCAGACAGTCCCACACTGCACTCTGACCTGATGCCACCTTGGGTTGGTTGCCCACTATCCCAACAGTCCGTCCGTTCATCCTGGCAAATCCAACCACGATGTTCCTGGCGTAGGATGGCATGATCTCGAAGAATTCCCTCTCATCCACAATCTGCAGGGGTGAGAGTCAGGCAGGGTCTTATGAGGACAGACAGATGTGTATAAATACACAGGCAAACACAAACTCTGTCACCTTAGGATGGGAACTCTTAAACCATTTCAGAACTTGCAGAATTTTGAAAGAAAGAAAGGGAGGGAGGGAAACCTTTTTGTCTTTGCAGCCTGTGTGCCAAGAATTAACTAGTCCTGCACTTCCCTGAGAGAACACCTTTATGACTGTGGTGAGCCTTTTTCCTAGCTTACAACAAACTAAAACTTTAAGTCAGATGTTAAGAACTTCTTTCTCACATCTTAATTAGTGGCAGACTTAAGGAACAATTTCCAGCGATGAAACAGCACCTCACGGAGCTCAGAAAAGGCCACGGCCCCTGTAATCCCTCCCTGCACACCTGTGGTGGCTGCACTTCCCTCTGGGGCTGGAGCTGGGTGTGTGCCCTGCCCAGCGCCGTCCCCAGCGCACGGAGCACATCCCAGAGATCCCGCGATCCACGGAGCAGCAGCGACACCTACACTCGGCTGCTCCTGCCGGCATTCCCGGCCCCCGCCGGGCCCACACGCTGCACTCTGCCAGTCAGCTCCCTTGCCTCAGCCTCGGAAAAGCTGTGGAAAATGTAAGTATTTCTTTCCCTAATAGTTCTCGAAATCCCTGGGAAGGTTTGGGGTTCTTTTCCTAATTCACTTCAGGACTTTTTTAAATGCCACCTTTTAACTTTCAGTACACGTAGTGCTGAAACTCAGAATGGAAGGATCCAGAGATTAAAAATACCCTGAGCTTGCTTTCTGCACTAAAATGAGTCTAAATGCAGCCAGTTACAGACTGAATGTGTTGGCTGGATGCACAGTGAGGAGAGACAGTCAAAGCAAAGAGAAACTGTAAAGGTCCCACCAACACAGCTGGTGAGCTGCCTGTGTCACTCCTGGCTCCAGCAGCCCCCTAACCCTGGCTCAGCTGCTGCTCAACATCCCAGTGGAAGAAGGAGCAGCTGGGAATTTTAATATTCAGAATTTGGACTCTGAGGGTGCTCTACAGGGGCTGTAACAGCTTCAGGTGATAAAACTTCTTTTACAACCCTGTTCTCTGCCCAGTGTTTATAATGGATTGAGTTGTTAGACCTGGGAAATTGAAGTACTCAAAATTAGGCAAGAGAATTACCAGCATTGCCTGTGCTGCTTTAATAAAACCTGTTATTTATACACTGGCTTTCAGATTTTTAAAAAAATTGTAGGATGTTCCTTCCCTGCCCCCTCCCCAGAGATCTGCCTCACTTAATGAAACACCAGCTCGGGAGTTTCCGAGTGCCTGACTGGTAATTTAAACAAATAAATGTATATTCTTGTACAGTGTGTGCACATAACTCTCTCAGCATAACCAGGGAAGGGTAAATCCTCGCAGGCACTCTGGGTAGTTTATTACTTTTATTAAAGAGTGCCAGAAGTCAAGGCAGAGAGAACAAGGTGCAGGGAGGGGCAAGTGACAGAACTCAAGGGGAAGGGGCTTCAACCCCAGAGGGAAAACTGAACTACAGCCTCCCTCACCTGCACAGCTGTGCATGCAGCATCAGGGGTATCCTGAAAACAAACCTCAGAATTCCTTTCATTTGCTAAAATCTTTTGTTTCATGTGTTAAAATCTGTTTCCCCTGCAGTTCTTGTTGTCCCTTTACTCACGGCTACTAAACAGGTAAAAACGGCCACTTGTGAAGACTAAAATAAATAAATAAATAAATCCCAGTGTGCCTGTTCAGTGCCACTCTACTGGTTCCTGAGAGCCATTCAGCCCCAGAAGACAAGCCCTGCACTCTGCTCCCAGCCCTGCAGACTCACCGAGTGGATGATGTCCAGCATGTCGTAGGCTTTGGTGGATTCACTCGGGACCACGGTGTCCAGCTCGGGAACAGGGCGGTCACTGTGGAGAGCAGGGAGGGAGCCACGTCAGCCCAGAGCAGGTGGACACCAGGAGCACAGCCTTGGGTGAGTAATCCCACCTCTCAGACACTGCACTGGAACCTCCTCAGATAAGAGGAGAAGAAACAGTTCTCCCCAGCTGGGGCAGCCTGGCCCTGGCCCTGAAGGAGAGCTCTCTCCCACGGGCCCCTTGCTTGGGAAGGGCTCTCCTGGGACAGCAGGGACCAGCCCAGCCCTGGGGAGCTGTGGGGCTGCAGGGGGCACTGCTGGGACACGGCACAGCACCAGTGTCAGGGCAGGAGGGCAGAGCCTGCAGAGCTGAGGGGCAGCTCCTGTGCCAGCCCTGATCTCCTGCAGCCCAGGAGTGCACACTGACCCTCCCTGCCCACAAGGACACCTTGCCATGCCCACTGCCCCGGCCTGCAGGCATCCCTGGATGGGAACACACATCCACACTCAGTTTATTCCATGGCATGGCTGCATTTAAACATCTTTGCTGTTCCTGCCCTCAACAGGGACACACTTCACATGCAGCTCCCTGTCACAGCCACAGCATCAGTTCCCTCCTCCCTGGTCTTTGAATTCACTCACAGTCCCATGGGGGGTCACTTTTTAGGAGCCACCACTGAGGCTTCAGGGATCAGCATGTTTGTGCCATTCCATAAAAATACTGATCCGTGTTTGTTACAAATGGTGTTTCTGTGGAGTTCCCACTGAATAACTGTTGTAACAATGCCATGATTTAATTTAGTGCCTTTAGAACAGGACAGCACAAGGCTCTGGACACCCAATTTAAAACTGAAGGAAGGGATCTGCAGTTTGTCAAAATCAGCCAAAAACTCTTACTGAGCCCTGTGGCTGTGGCTGTGCCGCTCAAACCCACGGGGTGGGAGGCACAGCCCTCACTGGGAGGGGAAGAGATCCAGCTATTAGTGGAATAAAGGGGACAGCAACACTTCAACTGCTTCTTCCACAGGATTACCAGTATTGCAGGCAAATGCCTCCATAAAACAATACAAAAAACCCTTAATCTGATGAAATTAAACTGACTTTAACAGACTAAACCCCAACCTACAAAAGATTCTAAAACTTTCTTGTCCATAAAGTAGATAGAGATGTGCTTCAGATTCTGTCTGTGACCTGTGGTGCCCCACAGGATAAGCAAAGTGGAAAAATTAAATCAGTGCTCCCATAAATTCACAGTGCTGTGGAGTGCTGAGGGAAATTCTAACAGCATTAAAATAAATGACCATCATCAAAATGAAGACATTATCCAGGATACCACGTTTGAAAATCTCCTTCAAACCACTCTGGACAGAGGACACCTGGAGCTCACTGCTGGAGCCACTGGGGTTGAGAACTGTGCCTCTGACAGATCCCACAGCAGGGAGGAACTGCTGCTCCTCATCAGAGCCCGTCAGAGCCTCACCCACAGGGACACTGGGTTCATTCAGTGCAGAAGGGAAACCACTCTTGGTTTCCAGGAGCTGGCAATAACCTCCTCCAGAAAGTCAAACTTTTACACATGCAGGTAAAAATCACACCATGGAACACACCAAATGCCCTGACCCAGAACCCTCCAAAGGGAGGGGACATTCACCATTACACAACTTGCCTCTGGGAGGAACTTCCACCCCTTTAGAACCCAGGCCACTGACAACAAAAACTCCACCACGTTTCAGCAGCCAAGACTGACATTTTTCAGCACCAAAAAGAACTTGCCTACCTAGAGAGACAAACAAGCACACCAAACAGCCCCACCAGCCTCAGGACTTCACACTGAAGGCAAAGGTAGGTTACATTTGATTTGCATCATTTGTGGCAAGTTTCTGTGGTGTGAAAATGATGCCATAAGAAAGCAATTCCTCTAGAGAAATGGGCTGGGGCTGGAGCACCCTGAGGATCAAACACATCAATCCCAAGCAAAAGGAGTCTATTAAGATGTCAGTATGTCCAGATGAAATGATACCAATCTATGCATTAGGACCACAAATGGGAAAAATATTGGAGATGCTGCTGTAAAACCAGGAAATTTAACAATTAGATCTGTCTTCACATGTATAAAGGCTACTAAATTGAAGTTCTTAGTACAAATGGCATTTATTATTTGTGATCCTCTAACAGTGTATCAAGCTGTCTCCCTTAAGAAATAATGAGCTAATCTCTTATACATTAGGAGCTACAACATAACTTGACAGCTTCTCACAAGAAAATAAACCACCTGTTATACAGTACCTTGATTTTAAAAATGGACTGTTGTTTCTATAATGAAATAAAATACCATAATCGAGTCTACAGAGAGTGATTATCCAAGAACAGCTTGTTGAATTCTTAGAAAGACCACGATAACCTCAAAAATAACCCCCAGACTTACCAAATAATACAAGAGATTTACTTTGGTTTATCACTATCAAACCAGAACAGTCTTAGAGATCAACACCTTAGAAAAATGTATGACCAGTAACTAATTGACCTGTCTGACCATGCTCCAAAAGGAACTGGTGAATTTATTTATCCAAAAGTGAACAAAGTATTTCAGGTGATCTGTAAACTCACCCAAAACCATCTCCCCAAACAAACTGTTGCAAAGCCACTGAAAAGCACAGTGAGGCATGAAGAGAATAACCTCCCTGACTGCCACGTTGAAATGTTCATGCATGCAAGGCCCCAGGACACACCACACACGTGTGAGGAACTGGAAGGAGCAGACTGAGGTGCCACTCCCACCCAGGGGAGGGGCACAGCTCTGACGGCTCCTTGCGGGAAGGGCTGAGCTGGGATGTACCCAGACCTTGGGTCAAAATGCTTCTCCTGCCCTGCCAGTCTCTGCCTGTGGCAGTCCCAGCAAAGCTGTCCCCTCAGTGTCCCATGTCCCTCCAGCTCCTGGAAAAGTGCCCTGATAAAAGTTCACAGGGTGACTGCTGTTCCCCTCTGGCAGGTCTGTCCTGTGTGACGTTGTCAGCTACACCACAAGTCCCTGACACATAAAGCTTCTGCCTCCTTGTGCTTCCCCACCTCCAACCCTCACAGGCAGAGCTCACCCAACAGACACAACTGACAACACAGGGCAAGGCCTCCCCACTCCTGCTCACTGTTTTCTCCTCACTCACTGCTTCCCTGTGCAGAGGTGGCTTCTCCCCCTGCTCTGCACGCAGAAATTCCTGCTCGGGAATTCCAGCTGTCCACGTGTGTGTGTGGGGACACTGCCACACCCTGCCAAGGTGCCAGCACACAGCACTTGTGTCTCTGCACCCCTGGGGCCAGAGAAGCCCCGGCCCGGGGTGTTCAGAGCCATCTGCTCTCACCTGGGATCGTGGCACTCACACACCGGGGCGGGGTCACGGTTGCTCAGAGGTAAATAATTAAAGAACTCCCGGAGGTTCAGCAGAGCATCGATGTCGTTCTCAAAGGCTCTGTGGGCAACTCCTGCACAGAAACGGCAAAGCAGGTTTGGAAATTACTGTGCAAGGTTTCCTTTTCAAATATATCCCAATAAAGATACAAAGAAGCCACAGCAAAAATCTTTAAACCTGAGCCATGAATAATTGGGAGCCTTAAGCCACCAAATCTGACCAGCTAAAAATACCTAGAAAATGTGTGGCTATATCAGACTTCCTCTGTAACAGGTCTGGATTGTTGATCTCATGTTTAAAATAATGTGAAGTGGTTTATCAGCTGTCACAGCCTAGCTGGGTCCAGCCTTCTGGAATTCTGTTCAGGTTACTGTGCTGCACTTGAGCACCACAAATTTTTTACAATGGCTGGATCTGGGCAGCATCTGTGTGTTTGGTTTTGGTTCATCAGCAGCTCAGTTCACACAGAATTTGAAATCTCACAGTCATTTGAGCCGTGAGAAGATTCATGACTCAGAGTTTTCCCAGAGGGACAAAATGAGGAAAAGAAGAGCTCCATCTCACACTGCCACTCGTTTGGAGTTGAGCACTTCAATCAATCACGTCTGTGAGCAAACAAGGGACTGTTGAGAACCTTTCAACTCATGCAAATTTCTGGAGAACAACCAAATAAAAACCCCACCCCAGGCCAGCTTTGCTAAGCCCTGCCCTTTGACAGTCTCTTCCCACTTGTAGGATCTTCTGTGGATTTGCTACTTTCTCTTCCAAATCCCAGACCTCTCCCACACTCCCACTTTTCCTGTTTAGTGTTCCATTACTCAAACAGACCCTCAAGAGAGCCACATACAGAGTAAGAACTTGTTCTTAAGCAGAGCTTTATCACTTCAGACTACTCTGCATGAGCCAATCAGCAGTTTAGCCAGAACACCACTGTCATTCCTGTGAACACAATCAGCCTGTTAAGGAAGCCCCAGCTCTCACCAGACACAGCAGTGTGTGTCTTGGCCCCCCCGAGCTGCTCCTGGGTGACATCTTCATTGGTGACAGACTTCACCACATCAGGGCCGGTGATGAACAGGTAGGATGTGTCCTGGGCAGGGGGAAAAGCAGAAACCCACAGGGAATGCAAGAGCCAAGGCTGAAAAGCATGAGGGGAACAGCCACAGTCTCCAGAGACTTTCCCCAGAATAAGAGCAGAACAGAGGGAAAGTTTCTTAAAAGTCCTGCATTGCATTAAAAATCCACTAAAAATGCAATTATCCTCAAGCTATTTGGGAAAGCATTTCTTGCCTTTTCATGCAAAATAAACTTGATCCAAAGCAAGAGACCATCTCAAAAAACACCCGTTCCCACGTGGTGAGTTGGTATCTGACAAGGTCCCCAGCAGCAGGTCCTGGCACAGCATCTCCACCCTTACCTTGACCATGAATGTGAAATCAGTTAAGGCAGGGGAATACACAGCTCCACCAGCACAGGGACCCATGATGAGGGAGATCTGGGGAACCACCCCAGAACACAGAACATTTCTCTGCAATAGGAAAAAAAGACATCTGGTTTTACCAGCAAAGTGCATCTTTATATCTGTGCCCAGAGTCTGCAGGAATTCACAATCATAAACAGAATCGTTTTATTTCCTGGGAGACAAATATCTGGAGGCAATGCCTTGATGCAAGTAGAACCCAAATGATTTTGTTGCTTCTGTTCTGCTCCTTTCTGTTCCTGTGCACTTGATTTCCTACACACCATGGAATGACTGCAAAGGGAGATGGAATGAGTGACCTCAACAGATGCTGCAGGGGCAAAAACTGCACTGGGGAGAAGTGGATGTCCCTGAAATTTGAGTGTGATCAGAGACACACATAAGCTGTACTGCCCAGCTGTGGCAGAGGTTGCTGCACCAGCTCAAGTGCACACAGAGGTGAAGGGGTGCTGCCCAGCACAGAGGGTGTGGTGTCCAAAAGCAGCACCTGCACTGCTCAGTGCTCAGCTGGACCACAGCTCACCCTGGAACTGCTCCTCCCACACTGACTGTCAGCATCTGACTTGTCCCCCCACCTGCTCACATTCCTCCTGAAGGCACAACCACGATGTTCTGTGCACACAATCCAAAGCAGTTATGGTTTGACAAGCATATAAAACAATGTCAGCACGGGGGGAAAGAGCAGCAGCGTGGCTAGAGGGAAAATTCTTGCATTAGCCACAAAAAATCGTGTAGAAACATAAAACTTTCACCAGTCTGATCAAGGCTGGATATCCCCCACCAGCAAGGTTAACACTGTACTGCCCACTTCTTTGAACAGAAACCTCTGACTTGCAGCCCTTTTTCCCCCCACACTGACCTACCATCCTGACAGAACAGGCACTTGCTGCTTCTGATCTGAGCTTCTCAAGTTTTTTTCAAGTGCATAGTGTTTGATTTACTCTAAGTCCCTCTTTCTGCAGTGGAAATCCTCCCCCTTTTACCAACTCTACTGAAAACAAATCTGCTGTGTGGAACTGTTTCCATGTCTGCACTGCAGAGGAGACACAGGGACAGTTGGAGAGGGGTCACAACCCCCAACAAAACCCTGAATTATGGTGCCCACCTTTCTCAAGCTCATAAATGTTCAAAGAAATTCCATCCTGATACAGGTAATTGATAATTTAGATGTAAACCAAAAAGTTAAATAGTTGTTTGTGACTGTCTTCCAATTAAACAAATTGCCTGTTCTTTGTCTCTCATGACCAAAGCCTCTCCTTGGACCACAGAGCTTTGCAGGGCTCAGCATCACCCTTGTTTAGCACCTGGACCTGAGCAGCACAGTGATCTGCCCAGAGCCAAGAAAAGAACCAAGGTCTGGGTCTCACGAGCTGCTTTAGCCATTGGCTGAAACAGTGATAACCTAAAGTTTACTTACAAACAGGCTCAAGTAGGGACAGACTTTGTCCATCTCCATGGGTGCCAAGCTCCCTGGGCACCCAGCAGCCCACTCACCAGGAATATGTCTGCATAGCCTGCCAAGGACTCCACTCCCTCCTGGATCCGGGCTCCTCCGGAGTCGTTCAGCCCAATCACGGGGGCTCCCACCATGGCAGCCTGATCCATGATCTGGGGATGGACACAAACCCCACCTTATGACCCCAAAGCAACACACCCCACAATGTGCATCCCTGAGAACAAAAATCCATATGTGGCAGGATCTGAAGTGCCTGCTCAGCTTCTCCTTTATTCACATCAACTCTCAGTCTCCAACTCTCCCTGAAGTTCACGTTTGGCCTCAGTCAGGCTGGAGGTGACAAGACACACCGTGAATCCCTCCCAGGACCTATTTCTCTGCCTTGCCAGCCCTGCACCTCCACACTCAGCACTGGGTTTGGGTGATGCACAAAGGGACACTGCTCTGTGAGTGACTCAGTCACAGGAGCTGGACCAGAGAGGGCCAATCCATCCCTGTTCACAGGGGGCCTGCACTGCACCTTAAGCGCCCCCTCATCCATGTCTAATCTGATCCTCCAAGTTTATTGCAGTGGTGATGTGTAATCTCCTAAGCACTATATTCTAATGCTTGATTATCCCTCTTACAAGTTCTTTGGGAAGACTAAACTAAATCTTTGCTCTGGAAATTCAGAAACATTCCATTTCTTTGATACACAGCAGTGAGGGAGAGCAGTTAACTCCTGCCTGGCCTTCACCTTTGGGAACATTCAAAAACCCCAAGTCTTCAGCCTTCATATTCCCCTTCACAGTTCCAGGCCAAGCACCATTCACTCAGTCACACTGATCTCTCTACATCCTTTTTTTGAGGTCTGATCATAAACAATACTCCAAAGAGAGGCTTAAGTGGGAGGATTGAATTCCTTACATTCCTTGCATAAACTATTCCCGATTATTGGATTCCAGTAAGATGTTTGCCATTTTGATAACACTACATCACTAGCACATTATGTTGAGATCTGTTTTAACATCAAGCTCAGCTTCAGCTCCTAAATAACCTTCTGTAAAATCACACATGGTCAGTCAATCCCCATTCTGAATTTCCAAGTTGCTTTTCCCTGCCCACTATTGGCCCTTTCAACCACTGTTACAAAATCATATCCTATTTCAGACAATCTTAAACTTACTAAGAGTTTTACAATTCTAGTCCTGTCTCTCAGAGTGCTTGTAGCATCAACCTTGAATTTTATATTGCCTAGAAACACAGAAACCATACTAAGTCCCACTCAAGCCACTAGTGCCCAAAATTCCAGCCTGAACATGGTTCTGTGTAGTTCCAGAGTGATTTGTTCCTACGAGCTGTCATTCTGTGGAAAACAGGGGTTCTTGCTGCTTTGTATCCTTAATGTCTACTTAAAAGCTGAAATATCCTGGTGGCAGACACACAGAATAGCTTCACAATTTAAATGCAATCCCAAATTTCCAACAGATCCACGTGGGCTGCAAGCAGTCTGTGAGCCAAGACTACCCTCGTTTGCTGACAGGGACATTACACAGGCAATGAGCAAATGCCTCACTGAAAATCCCTGGAGCTGACATGTGTTGCTTCTTCCTAGAAAGCCTGTTGTCCTATTAGAGCAGATTAGTGAAACAAGTTCACTGACACTTTGTGCTGTTTCCCAGGGACTTATTTATGCATTATTTATTTATTTCAAGGCCTTTCTAGACAGTGAAGTTCATCCTAAAACACACAAAGACTGAGGCCCAGAGCAGCTGATGCATCCAGAGCCTTCAGACTCTGGGGCCCACCACTGACACTGATGCTCACCAGGAACAGCACCAAGCAGCAAGGACTCACACTTTTCCCTAGTTCTGTGATCAGCACTCTCCCTGCTGCTTTAGAAATAAGAGATCAAAAAAAACAGCTGAAAACATCCAATCCCATACCATCCCTTCCCAATACAGACCCTCAAAGCTCCCATGTGAAAGGATAATCCAAGTCTTTCCCAATATTAAGGTTTGGTAAAGCCAAGCTGTTCTTATCTAGCCCAAAGGCTTTGTGTTTTCAATTTTTACACCCCTCACTGCTGAGGTGCCTATGCCAAAAAGTAGTTATTTCCACAGGAGAAAAGGCCTTGTGCACAAAAATCTTTGTTTCTGATTCCACAGCAAGAAAACTCAGGAAGCTTTTCCAGCCCACAGCACTCAACACTCAGGCATGAATAAGTTCTTGTGTCCCCAGCCCTGGGATTCAAACAGCAGCTTTTCCAGGGAGACAAGCAGCCAAACAGGAATAAATAGCCACAAGTGCCTGATAACAGCAGCTCTGAGGATCAAGGTGACCTCTGAGTTGTAAAAATGTTTATCTCCAGACTGTTTACTGGTTACATTTGCTTTTTATAAATATTGTACACTTCCACATCCCACTGTTTATAGGAAAAAGCTGCTCCCAGCTCATTTCACATTTCTCCAGTAGTGACTAGTTAATTTATATTTGTACTTGGCAAGTCTCTCGTCTTTTGTAGCACAACTTAATTTCAACACAGTGTGTGTTACCTGGAAAAGCTCTCTTACCCTGGAAAAGCTTCCAGAGGGTACCTTCCTGCCCTCCTGTGTGTTCCCACCTGAACTGACAGGAGGACACAGGCGTGGTCAGGCTGCCATGGCACCAGAGTCAGTCACAAAACACTGGCACCCGAGTCATTACCACAACGAGACTGAAAAGAGGATGCCGACAGTTTTTTGGGTTATTTTCCCCAGTGAAGTATTACCTTGCAGATCTTCTGGGCATGAGCTCCAGATAAACTGCCTCCAAACACAGTAAAATCCTGGAGGGAAAGCAAATTTCCAGATTAGGAAAAGAATCATTTCAGTAGAATGCTGTCAAATACTGCAAGTAAACCACACAGTCCTACAGTGCTCTGTGTTTGGTGTGCTGCCCCAAAACAACTGACTCCCTCAGTGCAGCCTGGAGATCAACCCAGCTCAGTCCAACCCTCCTTTCATAAAATAATAAAAACCTGACCACGTGTCACCATTCTGTATTCATGAGTTATGTCAAGAGTTGATTGATCTTTTAGGGGGGCCAACACTGACTGTTGGTGCTACCCATGGCCTGAGAGCCAAGATCTCTGTCTAACGAGCAACACGAGGCCCTGGACTGATCCAGAGGGAAAAGGGGACATTTACACCTCCTGGCACCAACAGAGCACAGAGCCAACCTGTGGTGAGGTTCTCTGGTGCATTCCCACTGAGTCTCATTCTCAAAGAAGCCCCAAAAGCAGGGGACAGCTCAACTATGACTAGCAGCTGAACCAAAGAGGAAGGAGCATCTCAGGTGGCAGCTGAATTTGGATGGGGAAAAGGTCATTAAATATAAATATAAAAAGAACGGGGTATATCAGGAAGGGGCACTTTTAAATGCTTTTAATATAAAAAGTGCTCCCTGTGTTCCTGTAAAACCAAGGTTTGTGTCAGGCCCCTCTCTGAAGTTCAGGCCCACACAACAGTGCCCCTCCTTGGGAGAACCACACAGCCAAGACAAAACAGGCAGGGTGCATGACTGGCTCCAAGGTCACACAGCAACAGCCACTGTGGCCATAAGGGCAAACAGAACAAAGGCTACTTTGTGGCCCAGAACAGAGCAGCACTTACCAATGAGCTGAAAGAAAGCCTTTCTTTCACAGTGGTAATGCTAACCAAGATAGGTCTCTGCCTCTGATGTTTCCTCTAAAATATTTTTTTTAATTTTAATATAAAAACTATATTTTAACATAAAAAGTGTATTTTATCTATTTACAAGCTATCTGTCACAAGCTCTTTTGGTTCTTCTTGGCTGAGGGTGCCCTTCTTCCTCCCACAGGTTCTTAGGTCCAACTTATTAGATCTTAGGTCTAACTTATTAGATCTTAGGTCTAGCTTATGCTTACAGCTAGCAGGCAAACAGGGGCATTGCTACATGGCCACACTGAACTAGTTTGACTTTATTTCAGAGGATAAGTCCATGCTATTCACAACCAGCAGCAAAGCCATACCTGGCTGAAGACATAGGCCAGCCTGCCATTGATGCGCCCCCGGCCCGTCACCACACTGTCCCCAGGGTACTGCAGAGAGAGCAATTCCACAGGGTCAGCAGGAACACTGAGGCAGCAGTGATGGCCACCACAAACCCCACAAACTCAGCCCCAGCCAAACCAAAGACTGGCTGGCTCCCTGAGAGGACTGGCCTTCCGTGTTTGCAGTGGGGGCTGCACAGGGATCTTCCCCAGCCTTGAAAAGGAAAGCCAGAAGTAACATCATATTTGTTGTGTATTAGTGTAAAGATTAGTGCATTTAGCAGTTTCCCTTCAAATTTCAGCACATCTGGAGTTAAGGCAATCACGTCCTTAGAGACAGGACGTGCCTTTTATTAGGACCTGATGTTTCCGAAAGAATGGACACAGCACATAAATCTTTGAGGTTTTGATACAGGATAAAAAACAAACCTGGAAAGGTCAAAAAATATAATTACAGTCACTCAAATGCTTCAACTTGACCTGTCCCATTTTTCACCCTGTAAATAATGGAAGAAGAAAGAGGTGGAAGAGGAAATGGAACCTCTGAGTCTTAAAATGTGCTCAATCTATGTTGTCTCACTTTCTAGTAAAGAAAATATACAGAAGAAAAGAAAACAGTAGAAAAGAAACTTTACTGGGCTGCCATCAAGGAATTTCAGGCACTGAAATGTTTTTTGTTTGGTATTGAAAAAAAAAGAAAAAAGAAAAGTGTCTGGTGCAGGGCCCACTCTGAGGCCATTTACCCCAAGGTGGCCTGTCCCCAGCAGGGTCACACCTGCCTGAGGACTGTCCCCAGGAGGGTCACACCTGCCTGGGGACTGTCCCCAGCAGGGTCACACCTGCCTGAGGACTCTCCCCAGGCTGCACACACAGCTCTGCTTCCAGCCCACGGCTCCTGGCACACAGAGAGCAGCAAACAGACCCACACTGCCAGCCAGGTCCCAAAGCCCAGGCAATTCCCAGAGCAGCCTGGATGGCAGCACAAGTCTTACCCACCCTCAGAAAGTTCCAGGAACTCCAGGAAATTCAATGCTAAACTAATATTCCAGCTCACTGGCCACAGCTGGGTCAGCTGTTGTGAAACTGGGCTCTGCAAACACAAGGTGCAGCTCTCTGAAAGGGGAATTCTGAAGGACAAGGAAGACATTAACCCTCTTGCCACACTCGGGGCTCTCCTGCTCCTCACTTTCATGTTATGGTGAGAGACTTTGGGGAGCCATGGATTTTCCCTCTGTGGGAGGAATCCCATGTGAAGAGCACCAACAAAGCTCTGCAGCCTCCTCTACTGTTTAAAATATGAACCTAAGCAATACCCAGGGAGGCATTAGAACCAAACAGGTGACCCTGTAAAAAAAGGATCAAGTTTAAACAATGGAGAAGTAAACTATGTAAGCTGTTAAATGGAAACTGAGAGTAATTAAAGCAAATTTGCAAAACAAATTCGTAAATGAAAAGAAAACAAAACAAACAAAAGAAATTGCATGCCCATTTTCAACCAGTGGGCTGGCTGCACGGCACAGGACACTGAAGCAAGAGTTACAGGAGACAAAAGTACCTTATTCTTACTAGAGTCCATCCCAAAGTCAGCACATCTGTGTTCCACAAACATGTCATATTCATCAAAACTGTCGGGGTCCAAGAGCAGCAGAATTCGTTCCCTTGCTGTCAGCTTTCCCTGCAACAGAGCAAGCAACAATTAACGGAGCCATCAGGTGGTTCTGGCTGTTTGCTGACCCCCAGCAGATGCAGTTTAATCAAACAGAGCCTCACTTATCTGCTACATTGGGCCCATTAAGCAACTGCAGGCCTCCAAAGCTGGAAATGGCCTATATAGTGATTATCCTCCTGAAAAACAAACATAATGCAAGCCAGACTCTGAAAAGAAGGCTGACTGTTGGAGCAGCACCACCACAGGAGAAAGGAAACAATCTCAGAGACTTTTCAACAAGATATAAAAGCATCACGGCTATTTTTGCCTACACATTTAAATGCTGCTATTAAGGCCTTTGTTCTATTCTTAACCATGGAGCCCTTCCACAGCTAAACCAGTCCTTCCCAACTGCTCAGGGCTCAATTCACCACACTCCACGTTGGACTGCAGTGAATGAGAGGAAAAGGGAAGTATGACAGCCTGCAGGGATCTTCTGACAAAACCCTCTTGTGCTGTTTGCTGCTGGACACTGCTATGGGCACAAGCAGGGCAAGGGCCAAGAACTCCATGAATTGACCAGATATGCAAATCCCTTACTCAGTGACACGCAGCAACAGATGACTGCAAAGTTCTTTATATCTTCAGCTTCCAGCAAAGTTACTGCCAACCCGGGTAAGCATCTGTCTGCAAAGGGAGGGCACCTGGATTGTCTTCCTTAGGGGATGGTGTGACTCTGCACCAACAGGACATTAAAACACAGCTCAGGCTCTCTACAAAACATCTGACCAGTGGGCCAAAAAGTTTATGAAAACCAGCAAAGGCAGGAAGGCCTAAGGTGAGCCATAGATCTAATTTATATAAAACATAAGCTGTTTGAGAGTCCTAGACAGGCAGAAACGCTTGTTTATTGTGTGTCAGTGTCCTGGATGTAACTCAGTGAGCATGAACTCTCTTCAGATGTTGTATATGTGAGAGGGAAACTGCTGACACTGACCACTGACTGATCCTTCACGGGAATGGCCATTCTCACCTCCTTGTGCCTACAAGTCCTTGTGATACCACTGGGGCCTTGCACCAAACCCAAATGGTATCCCAGCAAGAAACAATGAACACAAATAGGAAACCTCTGTGTCACCCCAGCCAGCACTGCCCACATTCTGAACAGAGGCGGGAGATTAAAGACCCAGCTGTTGTCATCCCTCCCATCTGTCTTTACCTTATTTCCACTCCTCTACTCTTTGCTCTCATCCCTCAGAAGATCAGCTTACATCTGTAAGAGCAGTGTAAAGATGAAACTGTGCTGGATGGTGATTCCAAACCCTGGGCAGCGTTAAGGTAGAACTTACCATCCCACGGCAGGAATAACTTGCCATTTCTGTGTCCGCTACCCCCCCACGCACATTACAGAGCACCCTGAGGCAAAGGTACTAGCACCGGAATTGTTCTTTTTGCCGCCCGGGCTTCCAGGCACTGCAGTGTCTGACGCCTCCTGAGCAAAGTTCCCCAGAAAGGGGCCTCTGTAGCTGCCCCGAGGGTCCCCAGCACGGAGCGGCCGGCCGGGCCCGCGGGGGCACCGCTCCTGCCTGTCCCGGGTTACCGCGGGGAACCCTCCTTGGCAGCCCACCGCTCCTTGCCTGTCCCGGGGCCCGCCCGGCGGACACCTCTCCTTTTGCAGCACCGCTCTGCCGGGGCCCGGGACCCCTGGCGACGGCCTCTCCTTGGCAGCACCGCTCCCAGCCGGTGCGGGCATGAGGCGCACGTCCCGCCTGCCGTGGCCCGCAGCTCCGCGTCCCAGCCGTGCCGGCCGTCCCGCGCCGCCGCGCTCACACGCGCTTGTGCTGGGCGTCGATGCGGGCCTGGCCGCCGCCCAGCAGCGCGGCGCGGGCGCTTCTCCTCGATGCGGGGGCACGGGGGGAGGGCGGGCCCCGAGGCGGCCCGGCACAGGCCACAGCGGACGCGGACCACGGACACGGGCAGGCCGGCCCGCCGCGGGCACAGCACCCTGCACCGCGCCAATGGCCCGCACAGCCCAGCGGGCGCCTGCGCGCCCGCCCGCCCCGGCCCACACGACAGCGCCGGGCACAGACACGGCCCCCCGGCACAGACACGGCCCCGGGCACAGACACGGCCCCGGGCAACAAGACACGCGGCCCCGCTCCGCGGGCACGGCCCGGGCAAAGACCACGGCCCTGGGCACAGGACCCGGTCACAAACACGGGGCCCCGGAGCACAGACTGGGCACAGACACGGCCCCGGCCCCAGACACGGCCCGGCCCCGCTCCGGGAGCCCCGGGCCCCGCGCAGGCCGGTACCGAGCCCAGCCCTCCTCGGCCGGGCCGTTCATCGCTGTTGTCATCGCGCAGACAGAACAACGTGAAAACGCATCAGCTTTCGCCCCTTTCCCTTTCCCGTGTGTGCGTAGGAGAGGCCGTTGTGGCGTTTCACGAGTGGGGACGGCAACCAGAGGTGTTTGCCCGCAAGATTAGCGGTCCCCTCTTTCTTCCGAGCGCCAGAAAGGACTGATCACGAAAACAGTCCCCGTGACACGAGCTGTGAGTGCCCGCCGCCGCCTCCCGTGACCAGGCGCTCTGGCTCCGGTCCCTGCACAGCCGGGCAGGGCCCAGGCCAGCCCCGAGCCGCGAGCAGGGGGCGGGCCGGGCTGGGGAACACGCAGCGCACGAGGCCCTCCCTGCGGTGATCCGCAATCCACAGATCTGATGTCATCGCTCCAGGCTGCTCCGGCCTGCGAGCAGCCACCTGTGCTCAGAGCATTGTTCCGCCTCCGACACGGCCCCCGACACACGGCCCCCGACACACGGGCCGCCGTTCCGGCAGGGCCGGGGCAGTGCTGCCCGACGCGTCCCTGCACCGAGCGTGGGACACGAGCACGGCCCTGCAGATACCGCAAGGGTAAGGTTGAGGAATCTCCCAAAATGGGAATTCTTGGATTACGCAGCATATCCAAGCTGCTGTACAATGACTCGTTTTGGAAGGGCTCTCGGGCTCCAGTCCAGCCTCCTACTCACAACACACACAGCACTGAATTCATACCAGTTTTCCAGGGCTTTGTCAGTTGGATTTGAAAGTCTGCAGGGCCAGAGGCTGGCACACCTTTCCCAGTCCTGGTTTCAGAGCCCGACTGGCCCCATGGGGAAACTGATTCCCCTCCCACCCCTTCTACTCAGTACCAACCTGCCCTGTTCCACCTGGGGACAGCTGCCCTTGTCCTCTCACTACACTCTCCAGTCAGAGGGGTTAGTGAAAGGACATAGATGGGCTCTCCAGTACCAGAAAGCAGCTATTGGGATGTCCCCCAAGTCACAGAATCATAGAATCGACCAGGTTGGAAAAGACAGCCGAGATCATCAAGTCCAACCCTTGATCCAACACCCCTGTGGTTACCAGACCATGGCACCGATGCCACATCCAGTCTCACCTTAAAAACCTCCAGGGATGGTGAATCCACCACCTCCCTTGGCAGCCCAATCCAAGGGCTGATTACTCTCTCTGAGTCTGATTACTCTCTCTGTAAAAATTTTTTCGTCATATCCAACCTCAACTTCCCCGGCACAGCTTGAGACCATGTCCTCTTGTCCTACTGCTGATTCCTGGGAGAAGAGCCTGACCCCCCTGGCTCCCCCCTCCTGTCAGGGAGTTGTAGAGAGTGAGGAGGTCTCCCCTGAGCCTCCTCTTCTCCAGGCTGAACAGCCCCAGCTCCCTCAGCCTCTCCTCACAGCACTTGTGCTCCAGTCCCTTCACCAGCCTCGTTGCTCTCCTCTGGACCTGCTCCAGCCCCTCCATGTCCTTCCTGAACTGAGGGCCCAGAACTGGACACAGCACTCCAGGGGTGGCCTCACCAGTGCTGAGTACAGGGCAAGAATCACTTCCCTGCTCCTGCTGACACACTGTTCCTGATCCAGGCCAGGATCCATTGGCCCTCTTGGCCACCTGGGCACACTCTGCCTCGTGTTCAGCTTCCTGTCAATCCAAACTCCCAGGTCCCTTCCTGCCTGGCTGCTCTATAGCCACTCTGTCCCCAGCCTGTAGCGCTGCAGGGGGTTGTTGTGGCCAAAGTGCAGGACCCGGCACTTGGCCTTGTTGAACCTCATCCCCTTGGAATCAGTCATCTCCAGCCTAACAAAGACAGAGCCCAGTCCCTAAGCCTCTCCTGGGGGAAGTGCTCCAGCCCCTCACCATCATGCTCTCCCTCCTCCCCATGATGTCCCAACCTGGACACAGCTGAGATCCTGTCAGAAACCTTGTTCAGGTTAAGCCAGAGGACATCCACTGCCCTTCCCTCATCCACAGAACCCACCACCTCATCACCAGGAGGCACTGAGATAGGTCACATGATTCACCCTTGGTTAATCTATGCTGGCTATTCCCAGTCACCTTCTCCACGTGCCCACAAAAGGCACCCAAGAAGACTTGGACCATGTTTTTCCTCAGAGACCGAGCTGAGGCTGGCTGCCTTACAGTCCTGCTTTTTTGTGGAGGGCACAACTCCAGCCTTTCCCCAGCCACCAGGGAGCTCCCAGATCTCCACAACCTTTCCAAGATGACAGTGGCCTCACCATGACAACTGCCAGCCCTCTCCACACACTTGGCTCACCCTGTTGGTCCCTCAGAACATGTGTCCAGCTCTCTCAGAAGCTGCTGACTCAGTCACTACCAGGAGCCCTTTCCTTCCCCCTGCCTATAGGCACAAAGGCCCAGGGAGATCCTGTCAGTGAAGGCCAGGACAAGGAAGGCCCCAAGTACCTCAGCCCACACCTTACAGAGCATGAGGCTGTTTCAGCCCCAGCCAGAGTAACTGCAGGCTGTCAGTGCATTCCTGACCTATCTGTGAGATAACTGCTCCTCTGCAGCAGTCAAACAGCACTTCACCCTCCCCAGGCAGGCTTGGGCAGAAACCAGGAACTGTGGCTTCTCCTGGTCACAAACCAGCCCAAGCAGAAAGCAGCCCACGGATGTTTGAAGCTGAAGCCTCTGCTGGCCCTCAGTGGGAATCCTTGTGTGCTCCAGGCTGGCTGCAGCAGCTTCTTCATTAAAAGGCAATGTGAAGTGCAATCATGCAGCCTCAGAAATTAAACTGACTGCTGTTTAGAACATGGGTCACACCAAGGAGGTTGGAAATGTGCATTCTGGGAACTGGGAGGTTTCACAAAGCCCCCGCCCTGGAAGGGAAGGTTGGCATGACAAGGGGAGGCAGCAGGGGCAAGAGGCATTCCTGGGGTAGCTGAAGTTCTGCCCAGTAGAGGAGTAGAGGGGGAGACAGAATTGTCAACAGTTGCAGGTCACATGTTAAAAAAACAGACTGAAGAGGCCAAAATACTTTTAGGGACAACTTGCTGGAAGTATGAAAACTAGTAAATGCTTTTTAAAATACGCGAGGAAAACGAGGCACGCCAGAGATTCTGGCAATGAAACAAGTCAAGATTAAAGGGATTACTCAGACTATACAACAGAAAAAACTCAATATTTTTTGTTTTTTTTTTCATCTGAATTCAGTGCAACAGAACTTGAAAAGATTTCTGTGCCAAAATCCCTAGTTTTAACTTGCACTTTTTACTTGGATGTTTACTGGATACATTGGAGATCCTGTTTCACCCCAAAGAGTAGAAGATTAAGTTAAAGAATAAATCATTAACACTAACACATCCCCAGGACCAAACTGTTTTCACCTCAGTGTTATAAGATCCTTCAGAGATAACTCACTTAAAAGTCTCTTGCTAAGAACTCCCATGGCAGGTGGCTCTTGCAATGTCAGTTTTTAAGGCAGGCATTAGGAGATTTAAGAAAACTATGAACCTGTAAATCCAATACGAATTACAAAGCAAAATGCAAAAAAACCCCTGCCAACCAACAAAAGCCACACCTAACCAAACCCCAGAATTACAAACACATAAATAAATTGGACATACTGGGGAGGAGTTGGCAGAGATCTTGTACAGAGATTCCTGCTGTGCAAATCAAGGGGCTTTATTTAGTGATGTCACATATGTAAAATAAAAGGGAGATTCTGTTCATAGAATTACTTGGATGTCCTTTGAGAATGTCCCTGATTAGGAGCTCTTGAAACTAAGTTGTCATTAGATTAAAAGGAAGGTCCTGTCATGAATGAACAGCTGTTGGGGAAAGAGTGAAAAGTAAATTTTCACAGTGAAACCATTTAACCTGGGACACCTTCTGTTCCTTGAGATGGGACCTGTTCTGTTTATCACAGCTGGGAAAGATGTGGAAGAGGGATCTAGTAAGGTGCAAGTTCCTGGTGAGCCCAAGTGATTTGGTTAACAAGAGTTATGATGCTTGACTGAAGAGTCAGTGAAGGACCTCATAGAGAGATGAAATTCAAGTAGATAATTTTCCCCAGTGCATCACTTACAACCCCAAGAATACACATGTTGGAGCCCTGGATGTCTGTTAGCAAAAGGAACAAGTTCATTATACCCCTGCAAAAACATCAGCTTGATTTACAACAGCAGCCAAAAAGTCAAAAAGGTCCTGGACACATCGATGGAGGAGGACCTGTCTCAGGATGTGAAATGCTGCTGTCTGTGTAGATCCACGAGACACAAATTGCTGCAAGACCGCTGGAAAAATCATACTATCTGCTTCAGTATTATTGCTGTTTCCTAAGTATTTGTCACTGCCTGCTTTTGGAAGCACAGTGCTGGACTCAGCTCTGCCACAGCCGCTCTTACAGCCCTGCATTGTTGGAGCTGTGAAGTTAGAGGCTGTCACAGGGCTGCAGCAGAAAGCGAGAATTCTCCAGGCAGTTTCTCAAGAAGCCCCCGCAATGCAAATCAGGGAAAGAGGAGAAAGTATTTTGAGGCCAAATCCAGTTACAAGAGGACTTTCAACCATGAGAAAAGAGTCTCCTGCTATTCAACTTTCCCATGTTCAGTCAAATAGTAATTAGTGTCTATTTTTACTAAACAGAAGTAGTGAATAGAAACCAGTTCCATCATCAATCTGTACTCCTGTAGAAACAGCCCAAGGTCACCAATGTCAGTTGATCTGTTTAAGTCACAGGGGTAACTCAGCTGTGTAAGAGGTAGACTCTTGTTCCCAGAAAACTATGTACAGCAGCATTCCCTCTAAACCCAAATGAAACTGGAATACATGCAGAGCTGAACCAGTGTTTCTGCATTGACAGTTTGGCTCAGAATCAGCTTGACTATTTAGTGCTAATCCCAGATCATCTCTACTTGCTTTGTGCTGCTCCAAACCAAAGGGAGTTCTGTCCTCCTGCACTCCTGGAAGCCCAGGTTTTGACCACACTCACAGCCCACACCACAGATTAGCTGGGGACTCAAAATTGAGCAGTATCCTAAGACAGGACACAAAGGCCAG